CACCTCTCTCAGCCCACGCTGTCCTCAGGCCAGGATGCCCTGGATTCCTGCACCTTGTGCTACTGCATTCTTCAACTAGCTGACTCTCCCTGGTCCAGATTCTGATGGTCACGGCCGTTGTGCCAGGTCATGTGATACATCTCTAGCCAGCCTGTGTGGATGGGCTTCCCCAGGACCAGGCATCCCATCTGCAGCATCTCCTGGGGAAAAGCTTAGTGCTGAACTTCCAAGCAAGGGATATAGACCATCAGTTCATTTCAGCTCAGGTGATGAAATCTTGGTGTGGCAGGCACTGGGAGTTACCTGTCCAAGAGGGAGTTGGGTACTTGCTTTCTCCGTGCCCATCTATGCACTTAGACTAATGACACATGTGGTGTGTCAGCCAGGCATCTGTGATGACAGGTCTTAGGCCACAGGCTCTGCTAAGATAGGTTCTGAACCCTAGCTAAAATTACAACCACCTGGGGAACTCTCAAAACTACCAGTGTCAGGTTCCACCTCAAGACATTCTGGCTTAATTGGTCTGTTCCCAGGTTGGCGTGAGTATTTATTTAAGCTCCCCAGATGACTCTAATGTGCACTAAGTGATCCCTTCCTGGCTGCCTGGGCACTTGGGTCACTGACCTTGCCTGTCACATCCTTTCTACATTCCACTCCTCTGCATGAGTTGAGGGACTGTTGATCTCTCAAGAAACCCTACAGTTTGGGAGCAGAAAGGGTGGGGTCTTAGAAAAAGATCGATAATGAGAAGACCATGCCTGACACACATGTAATAAACCTTATTGCTAGCACTTTCTCCCCACCTTAGAATTGTTTAGCAGTATCAAAGAGATCTTCTGTCTCTAAGGCTATTTAGTCAGGCAACTGGGAGAATTGCCTTTTACTTTGTGTAGTTTTTGTCTTATTTTTCTGCCCACTGAGTGTGAGTTCCACATGGACACGAATGCCGTCATGTCCACCAGCTGGTGAGATCCTGGCCTTGTGAACTGGCTCCCCTGAACCCCACTGTAGTCATACGTTCTTCACGTCGGCTGTTGAATGGTTATGCACAATGTCTTTTTTGAAAATTGCTGCCATGTATTTTATGTGTGGTTCCCTTCTTTTTTTCCCCGATGTCATCGAGACATATATAAATGACTTTTGTAATTGAGCGTATTTGAGGGTAGGTCTTCGTTGCTGGCTGAATTACTGCATTTGCACTTGAGCTTGCACTTGGAAGCACCACCAGAGGCCAAGTGAGAGTCCTGTTTGCTGAAAGTTGTCCCCTAAGTAGGGACAATTTAGGGTTGTCCCTACGTGGAAGAGGGGCACCCATAAGGAACTCGTCAAGGAGGAGTGGAGTGTATCCACCTTTTCTCTGTCTCTGGTTGGCTTCCTGGTGTCACTTCCCCCTTCAGGACATCAGATTCTTCCTCTTCTCAGCCGCCCTCCTCCTTACCCCACCCAAACTCGTTCTTAGTTGTAGGTTACGGTATCGCCCTGGCTCCACAGAAGCCAACTAGAAAGACCCAGAAATTAGGTCATGTCTGCCCACGGCTGTTTAATTGCTTTGCCACTGCCATCCAGGCAAAAGTCTCTAAAAGGTTTATGAGTAACACACTCCCTCCAGGGTAGCTGTCTCCACCTTCAAAGCCATGCTGGGCCCCACCCTCAGCTGGCTCTCCCCAGCTCTTTGCACATCCAGTTCTACTGAGCTCAGGCTCCAGCTTCTTCCTCACCATCTCCCATGCATACATTGATAACATCTTGTTCTGTGCCTCTCAGAGCCTTATAGAGAGCTCACGGGAACAAGACAGTCCATATGTGAAAACTTTTGGTTAAAAACAATATGCATATGTCTAAAAACCCACTCACAAATATCGTAAATGCCATGGTGCCCAGACAGTGCTCAAAAGCAACAGTGATAGTTTTATCATTCAAGTGACAAAAAGGCTTTTATGCTTGTAGATTACCCGAGCTTCATCTCTGAGGTGCTGCAGGGACTCACAGGTGACAGCTTCTTGAAGCTGGAAGATTCTGCACCCAGGAGTCGGGGTCCTGGCAGGAGGAAGGCCAGGTCCTGGCTAGTCCTTTGACTTGGATGGGCTTTCCTTCCTGGGAGGCAGAGAGTCATCGGAAGTGTTTTCTTGTAGGTCAGCCAACCATCAAAATGAGCCAATCGTCAAAATGGGAGCAGCCCTGCAATTCCCCCTCTTTGGGAGCTGTCAGGTATGACTGTGCCTGTTTGCAGCATTAAGGCAACTGTCTTTGGAACCATTCACTGCCTCAGGACCCTTCTGTCCCCAGCATCGGGGTCAGAGGTCTGGAGATCTCTGTGCTTCTCTCTAAAGTGAGAATCCCATAGGCTAAGTTGTTTTTCCTTTCTTCTTCTTTTTTTTTTTTGAGTTGGAATCTCACTCCGTCACCCAGACTGGAGTGCAGTGGCACACTCATGGCCACCACAGCTTCGACCTCCTGGGCCCAGGCGATTCATCTGCTTTAGCCTTCCAAGTAGCTGGAACTATAGGCATGCACCACCACACCCAGTTAATTTTTTTGATGTATAGTAAAGATGAGGTCTTGCCAACTTGCCCAGGCTGGTCTTGAACCCATGAGCTCAGGCAATCCTCTCGCCTCTGCTTCCCAAATTGCTGGGATTACAGGCGTGAGCCACCGCGCCCAGCTTAGATTGCTTTTTCCATGTCATGATTGAATAACACTTCCATTCAGCAGCAACTTTTTTTTAAGTTGGAGTCTCACTCTCACCCAGGCTGGAGTGCAGTGGCATGCTTACGGCCACCGCAGCCTCAACCTGCTGGGCTCAGACCATCCGTCTGCCTCAGCCTTCCAAGTAGCTGGAATCGCAGGTGCACATCACCACACCTGGCTAATTTTTTTATTTATTGTAGTGACGAGGTCTTGCCACATTGCCCAGGCTGATCTCGAATCCCTGAGTTCAGGCAGTCCTCTAGCCTCTGCTTCCCAAAGTGCTGGGATTACGAACGTGAGCCACCACTCCTGGCCCAGCACTCATTTATTTAGCAGATATATTTGAGAGCCTACTGTGAACCTAGAGCCAGAGATACAAAAGTATACCCTGCCATCTTTCAGTGTAGAGAAGGAGTGGATTTAAAAACAGAATATTCACTGTAATTCGACAAAGGATATGGTTTGGATGGTTGTCTCCTCCAAATCTCATGTTGAAATGTAATCCTAATGTTGGAGGTGGGGATTAGTGGGAGGGACTTGGGAGCAAGTCCTTCCAGAATGACTTCCTGCCTTCACAGTACTGGATGAGTTCTTCCTCTGTTAGTTCACGCGAGAGTTGGTTGTTAAAAAGATCCTGGCATCTCCTTCCCTTGCTGCCCCCCTCACCATGTGACCTGCTGGCTCTTCTTGTCTTCTGCCCTGATGGTAAGTTTCCTAGGGCCTCACCAGGTCAGCAAATGCTGGTGCCACATGCATCAAATAATTTTTTTCTTTGTAAATTACCCAGTCTCAGGTATTCCTATATAGCAATGCAGAACGGGCTGATACAATAAGATAGTCACATACGGGGACACAGAGATAATTCAAACGTGAGGGGGCGATGCCTGAACTGAGTCCTAAAGGAATAGAAGTGGATAATGGTGAGCAGGGCACTCCAAATGGAGCCAGCAGCATTAGGTGAGGCACAAAAATGTGACAGGCAGACTGGGCATGGGACCTCACACGTGTATTCCCAGCACTTTGGGAGACTGAGGCAAGAGGACTGCTTGAGGCTTAGGAGTTTGAGACCAGCCTGGGAAACATAGCAAGACCTTGTCTCTACAAACAATAAAATCGATGAACCCGGTATGGTGGCATGCACCTATAGTCCCAGTTACTTGGGAGGCTGAGGTGGAAGGACCACCTGAGCCCAGAAAGTCAAGGCTGTGGTGAGCCGTGAGCATGCCACTGCACTCCAGCCTGGGTGACAGAGTGAGACTCCATCTCAAAAAAAAAGAGTGAAAGGCTACTCTGAGCTGCAGGCACCATCAGCTGTGAGTATCACTAGAATACAACGTGAGAGGTGACCACAGGCATGAGAGTAAGCTAAGAGTGGCAGGTGTGGGTTGTGGAAGGCCTGTGTGCCCTGCCATGACCCCTGGGCCCAACGACACTGGACACGAGGCAGAGCCATTGCAACACTTAGAGCAACAGAGTGACCAAGTCAAGTTTGCTTCCCTAGCGGATGGCTCTGCGTGACGGGTGAAGCCCAACAAGGGGAGACTTGTGTCTAAGGGCCTTGATTAGGCTCACAGCAGCCCCGACCTCCTGGGATAAAGAGGGGGCGAGAGATTCATCAAATATTTGGGAAGTCAAATGATCAGGACTTGTTGTCTGACCGGCTGTAGGAGGAATGGGAAAGGAGAGCTGATATGAACTCAGGTTTCTGGCTTTGGTGAGTGTTTGGTCTTGACCTCCTTTTCCCACTGAAACGAGCGGACCCAAGTGGACTCTATACTTTGTGATTCCAGGGAAAGGTAAGATGTCTGAATACCAGAGGTCATCCATGCCTTCATCCACTTTGAAGCATTTAGATATTGTTCTCTTGATAGCCGTTATCTCTTGGCAACTGAGGTCAGATTTTAGGCTGGTAACCAGGATTGGGGATAAGGGGAGGAGTGAGCAGATTTCAAAGCAGAATTCTAGCCAAAGGAGCTTGGCACTCGTTCCCCAGCTCCAGATGGCCTGGTGAAGGACTTCTGGGGGACAAGCTGAAAGCAGCCACCTGACAGCAGAGCAGGGAAGTGATTGGCCCACGGGAACCACCAGGCGGGCAAGCCATGGGGAACAGCCTGCCAGGCAGCTGGTGCCCAGTGAGCCAGAGGATACGGCGGGTGCTTTCATTTCTTCCCTTTCAGCTTTGGATTTTGGTCAGGAGCTTTATCACTCTCCCATTCTAAGCAAAAATAATGTAGTCCAACTGATCCACTTAGTCACCCTCCTCCAAAGAATAAAAAGCAAGACACTTCAAGGGGCTGCATCTCCCTGAAGCAGCTTTCTGTGGCAACCTCCCTTTCGGCGTGGGGTCAGCAGAAGTGTATTTCACCTTCAGCGAGTGGGGGAACCCCTCTCTTCATGGGTCCGGCCCACCAGCCTAGGGCACTGTGGATTTTGGTTTTGAAGCATTCCCAGAGTCACCGAGGAGAGAGGCAAAACCGTCATTCTACCGTGTGATACCCAGCACCCATCAGGTAAGCTGCTGTGTACCAGGGGGAAGCCCCTGGAAGCTTACTTGGCCCTGGTGTTCCAGAATTAGCTTAAATATATTGAGCACACACCTCTGGGTTCAAAGCAACAAGGCTGAGGACAATATCTTCAGCAGACACCATGATAGCAGGAAGAGATGCCCCTTTCCAGTTCATCATGGTGCTAGTTGACTTTAAGGAAGTCCTAACATTTGGGGGAATCAAGATTAGTGATGTTTTCATGTTTAGTGAAATACGGGATAATTGACATATACTTTGAAGGCTGATTATTGTATGGGCTATGCGATCTGCTATAGTAAATATGAAGCGTAGGACCCAAGAAATGTATAATCTATTGAGCAGACCAGGACATAAAAATTTAAATAATATTTTAAGGCCTCACATGTGAGTAAAGTAGTGGAGACCGTAGTGAAGTAGGGTTTTGCAGTGAGAGAAAGGTGAGTGTGAGCCGGAATTATTAGAAAAGATTTTGTTAAGAGGCTGGCCTAGCCGGGCTCGGTGGCTCAGCCTGTAATCCCATGCTTTGGGAGGCTGAGGTGAGTGGATTGCCTGA